ACCCCATCTTTTTACGCTGCTGCTACTCTGTTAATTATTTATGCATAGTCACTTTAACTCTACCCACATGTACATATTACTTCAACTATCTCAACTAGCCGGTGCCCCTGCACATTGACTCTGCACCGGTACCCCCCTGTATATATAGCCTCCCTACTGTTATTTTATTTTACTTCTGCTCTTTTTTTCTCAACACTTTTTTAATTAAAAATAAATGCACTGTTGGTTAAGGGCTGTAAGTAAGCATTTCACTGTAATGTCTGCACCTGTTGTATTCGGCGCATGTGGCCAATAACATTTGATTTGATTTGCAGTACAATTAATAACCATTGCTATAAACGCTAAAACCCCAATCTTACTGAAACATATATCACTTGCTTGCCTATCCCACTGTACTGGTACATATCTCCTACTCTCACCCCCCCCCCCCCCCCAACTTCTTCTCTACTCTTACCCTGGAAACCTCAACCTGCTTCTCTCGCACTGGACATGTCTGATCCCCAGCCCCTTGGCCACCCCTACAATTAGCACATACCACCACTTTCCCCACTGCTTCACACTCCTTTGTCTCATGCCCTTCTGCACACTTTTCACACCTTGGAATCTCTCTCCTACACACTGCTGCCACATGCCCATAAATTTGACACCTGTAACATCGTTGTAGGTGTTTTCGATTCTAGGCCAACAATAGTTGTATATTACAAACCACGTTTCCATCCACCATTTTTATGCGAGTAACGTCATACCGTATAACAAATACAAATCTGGACAGCTGTGATTGAAACAGGAAGTTTTGGTGCAATTTTATAAATGCAGACAGATAATTTGTTCTTTTGACATGGTGGGTTATTTTTGTGTCTGTAAAATGTATTACAATGATTATTGATATAATAACCATTATATCAAAGTAAACTTGGAGTCACGCGATGATATGGTGTGTGGTCCTCCCACTACGACTCGGAAAACCATGCAGTTTATTAGGCTACAGATTAAATACATTCTGTTGAACTTCACTGGGTGGTGAAAGTGCACAGTGATCTTGATGCTCCTTTCCAATAAATATCGAAGCTCTTATTCTGGTGACATGATAATCAATGCTTGTCTGCAGTTGGACAAAAAAATATTATCTATTTTATCCATTATAATCACATCATGTAGACTAGCCTACCCGAACTGTATCTGCTAACTGTTGGCTAGAGCGCATGTGCCAAGACCAGAGTAGGCACATTTGCTATTTAACGCAACAGTTTGTGTGACGAAACTATTGGTAGATTTGAAAATGCGATGAAAACACATTGAACTTTAGATGTTTATTCAGTAAGCCTACATGAAAACTTAGGCGGAAAAGTACATTTTTTGTCAGTTTGGTGGAAACACACCACTGGTGGGAAAATGCGCATATTTTCTTTATGCAGTTTTAAAATATTCACAAAATCTGTCCTGAATTGGATGGAAACCTACCTACAGACCAATATTATGCAGTTAAGGTGTCTTGCTCAAGTGTATATTATTGCAGCAGTTTAAACAAGGGATTAATTATATAACCATCTTGCATGTTTAGGCCTATACATTTTCAGGTAGTCTATATATCTTCCCAGGGAGATTATAATCATTGATCCCACAACCGATAGACAACATATAGCTTATCTTGATGCCACTAACAAACCCTCAGACGCACCAAGAGGCCTCTTATAACCAGAGGCACGCACGCACCCGCTCCACCATTGGTATTCTGAAGGGACGCTGGATGCGTTTGGACACAGCAGGGGGTAAGCTGCTTTACAAGCCAGAGAAGGTGAGTAGGACTACTTGTTTTGTTCAGGTTTGAAAAATGGAGAACGTTGTAGAATCTCATTCCAACAATTCATTTTATTTAGTTTTTCTAGCTTTTGATCATCTTTACACCGTTTTTAGGTTTGCAGAATAATCATGGCCTGTTGTGTGTTACACAACATCGCTATGAAGCGTGGTCTTCCACTTCAGCCACCACACCAGGATGTGCGTCCTGACCAAATTGCTGGGACCAGACAACCGACTTGGCGTGGAAGTCAGACAACAAATAATTTCTCGTTTTTGATTTGTTTTGTCCTTTAAATACCACGAATTAAACACATGAAATGACACAGTTTTCAGTGCGTGTTCTTTATATTTTTAAGTGTTTATGTCTGAGTGTTTCTGATATTGTGGCAAGAGTAGAAGCGATTTCACAGAGACTTTGTGCAATCCGCTCCTGGTTATCCAAGACCGCATCGGAGATGACACATGCAGTTGGACGGGACCTGGGGGCACGTACAGAGGCAGGCCTACTGCAGGAAGGCCGAATGGTGTCAGGTTCCTCTTCACAGAAGGGTTGCCTGGATTGGAGATCTGGTAACTAACAAAAACGATACTGAAAGTAAAACAGTCACAGTGCACTGATTTCTTTTTTTGTTATGTTTCAGTTTATTCAATATAGGCCTACTGCAAAAGCAATAGGATTTCAAACTGAATAAACTAGGAATTCAGGTGAGGACTCAGTCACATAGGCCCACATTTGGTTTGACAAACTGGTGTAAAATTCCTTTCCAATGGTTTCACCGTTGCTTTCAGTTAAATTATGGCATGAATTTGTATAAATTCAGAAAGACTTGCTTACCGTCTGATTCACTGGTGGGAGATGGCCTTGGAGGATATGAAGCTGTTGTTATAGGGCCCTGGTCAGTGTCCAGTTGCTCCGCTGATGGCATATCTGAGAGTGCCGTCTCACCAATAATGGCCCCGATGCGCTGGTCAATCTCAGATAACTCAGGGCCTGCATGCCCCCCTCCAGTGGTCAGCATATGTCTCTTATGTTTGGCAATGGATTTTTTGGTCTGATTTTAAGTCAAACCATTTATTTTTTACATCTTCAATTGAGCGACGTTGTCCAGAAACTGAGTTCACGGACTCCGTGATCTCCTTCCATGCCTCCGTTTTGTTGGTGGCTTTAAAAACACTGGAAACAGTACTAAATATTATGCCTCGTTTGGCATTTACCTGTTGCAGTTTAATTTCTATTTCAGAATTACTGAAGTTCCTTTTTCGTTTGGTGATCGGTGGACCACCACCGTCTGTGCGTCTTTTGGACATTCTCCAACTTTTCTTGCACACGGCCCTGAAGTGTCATGTCCTTATATGGGAATTTGCGGGCCGTTTTCTTATGCTAATTAAGATCAACTGGCACACGCTTTCAATTACGAAGACGTGGGATTCATCAATCCTAAGAACACAGGTGCGAACAATTCTGTTGTTTAAGAACATGTCATGAATCCGACGTAGACTTTTCTTATGGAGTTAATTTAGAAAATTCTTAGGTAGATATTGGTGAATGAGGACCAATGTTACCAAATAAAGAAAAAGAAAGAAAGATACTCAAGTTCATATCAATGATTTTGAAGGTTTTTTGCCAACAAAAGAGGAAAACAAGGTTTTGACATTAGCAACAAACCACTTTTAATTATTTAACAAAAAGTTAAATATATTTTACAGAATTTAAGCAGACACATTTACACTGTTAATAGCACAAAAGCTTTCTGACTCACAACGAAAACTGTGATTCAAAAACCTATACAAAAACTATTTAAGCACATAAAATGCTTTGGTAATTTACTCAATATAATATATGTATGTAAAAAAAAAGAAAAAAAAAGTCAGTCAAACTGTAGTCATTCACTTTATGTTGAGGCTTTAGTACTGTAAAATAAACAAAAATAATTGCATTCAGAAGTAGGTACTTAGTTATCCATTATTGGTACTTAAGCTCTCTGAACAAGAATATCAACGCGACATGCAACAATTTCAAAGATTTGACTGAGTTACAGTTCATATAAGGAAATCAGTCAATTAAAATAAATTATGCCCTAATCTATGGATTTCACATGACTGTAACCCATGGGTGGGCCTGGGGGGGCATCGACCCACACACTTGGGAGCCAGGCCCACCCAATCAGAATTATTTTTCCCCACAAAAGGGCTTTATTACAGAGAAATACTCCAGCTTCATCAGCTGTATAGGTGGCTTGTCTCAGACAATCCCGCAGGTGAAGAAGCCGGATGTGGAGGTCCTGGGCTGGCGTGGTTACACGTGGTCAGCAGTTGTGAGGCCGGTTGGAAGTACTGCCAAATTCTCTAAAATGACATTGGTTGAGAAATTAACATTAAATTCTCTGGCAACAGCTCAGGTGGACATTCCTTCAGTCAGCATGCCAATTGCACGCTCCCTCAAAACTTGAGACATTGTGTTGTGTGACAAAACTTCACATTTTAGTGGCCTTTCATTGTCCCCAGCACAAGGTGCACCTGTGTAATGATCATGCTGTTTAATCAGCTTCTTGATGTGCCACAACTGTCAGATGGATGGATTATCTTGGCAAAGGAGAAATGCTCACTAACAGAGATGTAACCAAATTTGTGCACAAAATCTGAGAGAAATAAGCTTTTTGTGCATATGGAAAATGTATGGGATCTTTTATTTCAGCTCATGAAACACTTTACATGTTGCGTTTATATTTTTGTTCAGTATAATAATATCATTTTGAAATTCGGGATAAGTATTGGAATGAACTAATACTAACAATACCGATTCTTACACAATAAAATTACATTGAGCTCCCGAGTGGCGCAGCGGTCTAAGGCACTGCATCTCAGTACTTGAGGCATCACTACAGACCCCCAGGTTGATTCCAGGCTGTATCACAACCGGCCGTGATTGGGAGTCCCATAGGGCGGCGCACAATTGGCCCAGCGTCGTCTGGGTTTGGCCGGTGTAGGCCGTCATTGTAAATAAGAATTTGTTCTTAACTGACTTGCCTAGTTAAAAAAATTGAGATTCATAGGTTTATTAAACATTTGCATAATGGAGAGAAGGTATTGGATTTAACGATTAACAATATTGTTTATAATACTGATTCTTACTATCTATATTGTTGATTCATAAGATCATCTTTATTTAAATGTTGGCATCTTACCTTAACATCTCACCCAAGCATCGATATGAGCATAACAACTCCCATGAACTGGGTAAACAGGAGGACGGGGGTGAGGAACGACCATACAGGCCACAGTGCTATATTAAAACTGGGGAGAAGAAATAACAAATGTGCTTGAGACCAAGATAATTCTGATTACCATTGGAGAGATTGTAAAATAGGCTTACAACTTAATAACCGAAAGCATTATGTAGCTAGCTATTAGCTCACTAAAACCCTTTTTATCCGTAGGGTTTTCAGCGGTTAGCTTCACCCACGGTTGGCTGCGTGTGAACTACAATTCCAGCGCTGTGTTTTAACGTTTAGAAATGTCAATAATCATTGTTTGCAAAACGGCTTTCAAAACATATGCCCCTTTATTTTTCATATCAGCGAGAATCTTCCAAATAAAAAAGATACACTTCCTGTAGCAGTTTTACACAGATCCATAAGCTGTGTGTGCCTCAAGTTGACAAACTCCACTTCCTCCACAGTTGCGCTTACACACAGGTGTTCGGGGCATGCTAGATGCCTATGTCTTCTGTCTGTCTTCCGTAAACAAGCGCTGTAACATGGAGATATTGCCATGCGGGAACACTATCCCTAAACCTATAAAAGGTGTGTAATGTAACCTTTTGATTTTTGAAAATTATTTATAGCTGATTTGAAAGTTACATTCCTTATGTTTCCAAAAACGTACCGCAAGCAAAGCGTTTTAACGTTCAGAACGAGCGCCAGGGCTCTTAACAAAATTCCCCCAGCCAGAAGATACTATCGTCAATAAGTGCTGAAGGTACAGTGCCTTCAGAAAGTATTCATACTTCCCCCTTGACTTATTTTACTAACTTTTATTTAATCAGTGGAGCCCAATTGAGACAAGGGTCTCACTTTCAATGGTGCCTTGAGGACATAAAATAAAAGATAAAACTACAAGATACAAGAGAATAACAAGATAAAATAAGTACAGTGCTATGAAAAAGTATTTGCCCCCTTTCTAATTTTCTCTACTTTTGCATATTTGTGATACTGAATGTTATCAGATCTTCAACCAAAACCTAAAATTAGATAAAGGGAACATAAGTGAACAAATAACACAACAATTACCGTATTTTCCGCACTATAAGGCGCACCGGAGTATAAGCCGCAGCAGCTAAATTGAATGATATTGAATGATGTGTACATATATAAGCCGCACTGGACTATAAGCCGCAGGTGTTTTAATGTTTAATTACCATATGTAAGGGTTCGTGCACAGAGGGGATTGTGGGGAAAGAGATGGCTGCTTGAGGAAGCTCCCATTTATTAACATTTCAACAAACATGTTGCATATTTGCATAACGTATTCAAGTGTTACCATTTAGTGCAATAGTAGCTACAGAACATATACTGTGCTGTGTAAACTGTACTGTATCACACAGCGTTGCAGACACACAAACTTTTCAACTTTCAAACTTAAACGGTGCGCTCCCAGCGCACATACCGGCAGTGATCTACAGCAGTGGTTTTCAACCAGTGGTCCTTGAGGGAGTGCTAGGGGTTCCCCAGCAAAATTAGTTAATAGCGTCACAATCATTTAACCACTTAACTTTGGTTATTTTTGAAAAACCTTGAAAAAGTGTGCACATCTTTGAATATTTATCTACATTATAGCCTACAGTAGTACCATAACAAAAAACAAAGCTTACAGCGCTTGACGAGGGAATATCAATGGCTAAATTAAATGTGTTTTTTTTAAAGTGCAAAATAAAGTGCCTGTAACACGACAGTAAGCGCGTAAGCCTAAAGTTGCAGCAACACGGCTGCTTAAAATATACGGTAATCAGCCTACCAGAAAAGTCATTAATCCTCGTCTTCATCTTTTAGGCTAAGGTGCAGTACACGGCTGTAACCAGAAAAGTCAAGTCATTAATCCTCATCTCCGTCTTCTTCCTGCGTACTAAAACCACCAAAGTCCTCATCTTCAGTGTCGGAAACGAACAGGCTCAGGGTGGCTTCGTCAGCCACTCTCCTCTCTCCTTCGTTGTCGCTCTCAAAACCAACAAACTCCTCTTCGTCACTGTCGGAATCGAACAGCCTCTAAAGGGCCTCAGCTGTGGCGGCGTCCTCCTCTTCATCACGCAGCAGTCCAGCCTTTCGGAACCCGTTAATGATCGTGGATGTTTTGACAGCCAGATTGACTGCCTTTAACTTAAAAGCTGCATCATATGCATTTCTACGTTTGTTTTCCATAATGAGGGTTTGTGCATGAAAACTTCCTTTGCACAAACTGTCTCGCTCTCGTAATGTCTGTCTGTCTTGCGCTCGTTCTGTCTCTCGTTCTGTCTCTCGTACCACTCTCGGTTCCACTTTTACTTTTGCGCCGGCCTCCAGCTTTTCCTGCTGGAGCCCGCCGCTTAAAGGTGGGGGGCGCGGACCGGTCATAGAGCCCATAGAGTTAAAGTTGGTGGACTGTAACCTGTAAAATCCATAGATTTAGGAGGTCTTCTAGTGGCCGTTAGCTGTAAAAATCCATAGATTAGCCGCACCGTTATATAAGCCGCAGGGTCGAAAAATGGGAAAAAAGGCGCGGCTTATAGTCCGAAAATTACGGTACATATTTATTTCATAAACAAAGTTATGCAACACCCAATTCCCCTGTGTGAAAAAGTAATTGCCCCCTTACACTCAATAACTGGTTGTGCCACCTTTAGCTGCAATGACTCCAACCAAATGCTTCCTGTAGTTGTTGATCAGTCTCTCACGTCACTGTGGAGGAATTTTGGCCCACTCTTCCATGCAGAACTGCTTTAACTCAGTGACGTGTGGGTTTTCAAGCATGAACTGCTCGTTTCAAGTCCTGCTACAACATCTCAATTGGGATTAGGTCTGGACTTTGACTAGGCCATTCCAAAACTTCAAATGTGTTGCTTTTTATCAATTTTTATGTAGACTTGATTGTGTGTTTTGGATCATTGTCTTGCTGCATGACCCAGCTGCGCTTCAGCTTCAGCTCACAGACGGATGGTCTGACATTCTCCTGTAGAATTCTCTGATACAGAGCAGAATTCATGGTTCCTTCTATTAAGGCAAGTCATCCAGGTCCTGAGGCAGCAAAGCATCCCCAAACCATCACTCCACCACCACCATGCTTGACCTTTGGTATGATGTTCTTATTGTGGAATGCAGTGTTTGGTTTTTGCCAGGCATTACTGGAACCATGTCGTCCAAAAAGTTATACTTTTGAATAATCTGTCCATAGAAAGTTCTTCCAAGAGTCTTGATGATCATCCAGGTGCTTTTTGGCAAACTTGAGTCAACTTTTTGGACGAGATGGGTCCCATAATGCCTGGCGAAAACCAAACACTGCATTCCACAGTAAGAACATCATACCAAAGGTCAAGCATGGTGGTGGTGGTGTGATGGTTTCTGCATGGAAGAGTGGGCCAAAATTCCTCCACAGCGACGTGAGAGACTGATCAACAACTACAGGAAGCATTTGGTTGGAGTCATTGCAGCTAAAAGGTGGCACAACCAGTTATTGAGTGTAAGGGGGCAATTACTTTCTCACACAGGGGAATTGGGTGTTGCATAACTTTGTTTATGAAATAAATATGTAATTGTTGTGTTATTTGTTCACTTATGTTCCCTTTATCTAATATTAGGTTTTGGTTGAAGATCTGATAACATTCAGTATCACAAATATGCAAAAGTAGAGAAAATTAGAAAGGGGGCAAATACTTTTTCATAGCACTGTACATTACATTAGAAAATCAAACATCACAGGCATAATAAACAAATTATTAAAGTCAATCAAAACAATTGCACACCTCGGTGAACTCATTTATCATCAGGGATCTAAACTGCCTTAGTGATTCCAAAAATGTGGAGCGTTTTACCAGGTGACAAAGTATTTTACCATAATGACAAATACAGAAATATCTAATTTACATAAGTGTTCACACCCCTGAGTCAATCAATAAATGTTAGAATCACATTTGGCAGTGATTACAGCTGTGAGTCTTTCTGGGTAAGTCTCTAAGAGTTTTGCACACCTGGATTGTACAATATTTGCACATTATTCTTTAAAAAATTATTCAAGCACTGTCATTGCTAGACAGCCATTTTCAAGTCTTGCCACAGATTATCAAGCCGATTTAAGTCAAAAATGTAACTAGGCCACTCAGGAACATTCATTGTCATCTTGGTAAGCAACTCCAGCGTATATTCGGCCTTGTGTTTTAGGTTGTCCTGCTGAAAGGTGAATTTGTCTGCAAATGTCTCTTGGAAAGCAGACTGAACCACGTTTTCTCCTATCACAACCATTAAACTCTGTAACTGTTTTAAAATCACCATTGGCCTCATTGTGAAATCCCTGAGCGTTACCTTCCTCTCTGGCAACTGATTTAGGAAGGACGCCTGTATCTTTGTAGTGACTGGGTGTATTGATACACCATCCAAAGTGTAATTAATAACTTTACCATGCTCAAAGGGATATTCAATGTCTGCTTTTTATTATTTTTACCCATCTACCAATAGGTACTCTTCTTAGCGAGGCACTGGAAAACCTCTCTGGTCTTTGTGGTTGAATCTATTTTTGAAATTCACTGCTCGACTGAGGGACCTTACAGATCATTAATTGTATGTGTGGGGTACATAGATGAGGTAGTCATTCAAAAATCATGTTAACTTATTATGTGACTTGTTAAGCACATTTTTACTCCTGAACTTATTTAGGCTTGCCATAACAAAGGGGTTGAATACTTATTGACTGAAGACATTTCAGCTTTTCATTTGTAATTAATTTGTAAAAATGTCTAAAAACATAATTTCACTTTGACATTATGGGGTATTGTGTGTAGGCCAGTGGCACACAATCTCAATGTAATAAATTTTCAATTCAGGCTGTAACATAACAAATGTGGAAAAAGTCAAGGGGTGTGAATACTTTCTCAAGGCACTGTAGTTAGCGTCTATGAATGGGTTAGCATGTATCCATGGATTACCTGCATGATGCTGCAATGAAGGCTGCTGTGGTGATAGGGGCAATAGCAGGGTACTCATGATCATAGTGCTGTATTCCCTTAAACCACTCCAGGTATACAATGCAAAACATGGCCAAAGCTAGGCATATTCCCAGCAGTATCACTCCAACATTGAACCACCAGCTGGAAAACAACACAAAACAAAGCACATAAGCAGCAAATACATGACAGGAACTTGTGGTTTGGTTCTTTCGGGAAATGCCATCATCATAAATACATTTCTGCAAACATGGAGTAGATAATAGATAATCCTGCATGAATAAAAGTCTGCCTAACCAAAAAGGAACAAATATGCGTAATATTTGGGACTTTTCCAATTACAGTGACCAATCTACCCCTTAGTAACCTAAGACCAAACAGAATTTTTTTTATTTTCTGGACAGTGGAAATCACTTCAATAGGAGCGATTCAAGACTACCATCCAGAAACAAAATTCTCCAGTCTGGATTCAGGCTGACGACCCCTTTTGATTACTAATCACAGATGACCTACTGCAAAGACCTATACAGGCACTGGTTTGAGTACAGAAGGATTTTTCATCACTACAACACCTTTTGATATCGCCATTCTCCGTGATGACGCGGAGGCAGTCGAAATAGTAAGTCAACCCGACAGAAGCCACAATCCAGAAGACGGAATGGCGGTTGATCCGAGGAAGTGGTTTGGCATCTTTCTCTTCTTGACCTGCAAGTTTGAGACAGAATTCCATGGTCATTGGTAATGCAGTAGACCTCGTCCTAAATCATCACTTGTTCACAATAAGTAGATTCTTCATTTCAAAAGAAACAGAAAAGGCCTAGAGACAGTGTGATTACTTGCTCCCACACAGTTGAATGTTTTGGGATTTGTTGAAGGGCACTACACAATCTAGCTAGGCCTATGTATGATGATAGCCTAGGCTACAACCCACTATTCAGCATCATTTAGTTAAATACTGAATATCGTCTGTCTGCCAAGGACCTGGTCACCACTAATGCAACCAGGCAAAACGCACAAATAGGCTATGAAACCAGATAGAATTTACATTTTAGTCATTTAGCAGACGCTCTTATCCATAGCGACTTACAGTTAGTGAGTGCATGCATGCATTTTCATACTGGAACATTTACACCAGAATATGAGAACAGAAGGTGCCCAATCCGCAACTTTTAAGGTTCAAGACATTTCAGGATTAAACTGCCCCTCATGCTATAAGCGTACTTTTTGAAAAGCCTATTTATTAATCTCTATAATTTAGCAGTTGATTAAAAGTATCGGAGACAGCAGTTGGCTGGTGAAGTGGACAAGCTGTGAAGTCTGTCCTCAGGTATGAACCCAGTGCCCTGGGGTTGGCACTAGAATCTCCTCTAGTTGAAATCAGACCCACCAAGCTGCAGCTGTCCAATACTAGACAGTTATAATAGCAACTTAAAAAGGTCATTTAATAGTATAATTTTTTTAATGTTGCAAAAAATATAGTCAGCGTGAAAGAATAGCCTGGACTGGACCATCCAGCCAGACAATGTTGGGTCTGCTGTTTCTTTTAGGGGGGAATTCGACCAGTTAAGCGTGCATAAATGCAACATAATTCCCTTTTTATGTACTTTTCTCTCTACTTGTATTCTGACCTTGAACTTAAGCATGATAATAGCATGCTATTCACCCGCTATTTGTTTGGGGTGGAGATCAAATAAATTAATGTGTGGTGGAGGTGTGTCTACAGACACGCCGTATTCTGAATTTGACTTCATTCCTTCATAATTCCACCACCTTTATGTGCAATGAAACGATGAATAAGGTCAAGCAACTTGTCGGTTCCAAGTGGAACAACATCTACTTAATTTTTTCTGATAGAAATAACACTGTAATGCACTGTAATTTACAAATTGATAAGAGCTACTGCACCTCTATTGATAAGAGCTAGGTTAATGAGTAAGCCGTTTGGCTAAGGGGATTGTAAATATAAATGACAATTGTTTTACATCTATTTTACCTTATGACCTCTGGAGGCAAATGTGAAACCAGTCATATAGCAGCAAACTGAAGCATATCAACAGATCACCTTTTCCGCAGTGAAGTTTATGAAATGCTGGCCTTATAACTTGCAGCGATGACATTTGGAGACCCAAGCTATAGGCTTCTGTAGCCATGCACAAATAACAGCATAGCGCCAAACCTACCGAGTTGATTTATGACTTATAGAATCATTTAATTATATGCACAGACCTTTCACTGTATTTTTGTATTGTGTTAAACATTAGCCACTATTGGTAGCCACCGTCAGTTATACCCACATACATTTATAACTGTCACTGACTTTAGTGTTAGTTTCTATAATTCCATTACATAGTTAGTTTACCTTTCTTTCCTCTGTCACGTTTGTGTGGTTGTTCCTGATGATCACTAGCAATAGTGGATCATATTAGACTAACGTATTAGAAGTTGTGCAATAATCTGGGACATGTAGCCTATTTAAATCATTATGGAACGCAGACCATACGTAGCAGTTTAAACCTGGAGCCTGGCGCACAATTCATGATGACTGGACCGTTGTCATCACAGTTCCGTGATTAGTGAGGATTATTAGGGTAGGTTTATAGGACTACTGTTCAACCCCATTGCACACTTTTCTCACCTTCCAATATTCCATGGAATGAACAATTGAATATGGCAACTTTCAGGATGAATGAAACCACTGTATTTTTGATTCACCAATATATTCTGTGCGTAAAGGCTCTCCAAACCTGTTTTTTATTATTATTCATAAATACTTTCCTAACACTAAATAATATACAAGATCAGAGTATTTTTCTATCTACCAATTGTTGCTGAAAAGGAGACAAATGCATGTATTTCCATGGCTTTCTTTCATTGATCCCTAATATTCTGAACCGTTCTCTCCATATATTCTAGTGAGTCTGTCGAGAAAATTCAAATTAAAAGGTACACCAAATTTAAAGGGATGGCTTTAGATAAATGTACTGAAAATCCTATTGAATTAAAACTCCACAAGAAAATATGTTGGCCAGCACGTGGAGGAGGGTTTTCAGCGGTTCAATTCAATTTATTCAGCACAAGCAAGGGACCCACACCTGCAAAGCCCGTTACGCACTTGCATAAGGTACGTCTGAAGAGGGAAGAAGAATACTGGGAACAGCAGGAAAATGGTGGATGTTATGTTTGAATCAGATGGCGTGTCGAGTGGAGATGAGAATGAGGATTGGATTACAGTGGTGAATGGAAAAGGAAATAACAGAAGTAAAGTGGTAGTGGAATCTAGTAAATCCAAGCCTAGTTCTGAGTCTTTTTTGGTCGGAGTAAGGGTTTTGGATTGATGTTGTTACCTGGGAGATCCGATTGAAGTCTCTATAACAAATTCTGGATGCGTTGGATGAGGTGGTGTTGATGAGAGTACATTTTAGATTTTTTGGTATCTATGGAACAGAAGGAGCATGCTCTGGGCCTCAAGAAGATATCAGATTGGAACGTGTTGCGTGTGAATCTTCGAAGCAGGGCCCCTATCAAGGGTGTTATCTCTGGGGTGGCACTAGAAGTAAAAGCAAAGGATATACGTGAAGAATTGGATCAAGTGGTTGATGCACACCGACGTACCCGCATGGTGGATGGAGTGAGGAAGCCCACTCCATCTATTCTATAGTTTTTTGATGAAGAGTCTCTCCCTTCTCACATGTACTTGGGTTTTATGAGTTGCCCTGTGAGAGCCTTCGTGCCCAAACGCATGCAGTGTGATAAATGCAAAATATTTGGTCACGTGTCAAGTGTATGTAGATGGGAGGGGTATTGTATGCCAGCTGAGCCTAAATGCTGCAATTGTGTTGGTGGAACATGCACCCGAATTTCTGAAGTGTCCTGTTAGGGTGAAGGAGACTGAGGTGGTAAGAATAAGGGCTGTCCAGCATGTCTCCTATGCGGAGGTGTTGAGAAGAGTGGAAGAAAGGAGTGAAGTTGAAGAAATAATGGTAGTAGGAGTAGAAACACAAGATAATATTCCTTGTCAACAGAGGGATCCTGCCATTTTGCATGTTAAGAAGGTGGACTTTGTAGCTTGTATTGCATTGGTTATCAACTGCACAGCGCAAACAGAGAGGAAATCGGAAATAGGCATCATTGTGAGTGTGGCTAGGTTTTTTGGGGGGGACTCAGCGATTTTACAGCAGAGACACTACAAGGAATCCTGTCGATGAATGCTCCGTGCTCACAGGCACCTGAGCTGTTTAGGGATGTGATTTGAACTGTATGATGTCGGGACCTCCCCCCACTCTTCCTGCAATGGAATATTTTTTGTTTCAATACCCCATACAGTAGGTGGCGGCAATACACCAATAGGTGTAGTCTGACATAAAACCTTAAAGAAAAAGGTAAGTCTGAATACCAACTACTGAGAAGTGCGTAGGAAAGGCATACATTTCCTAAGTCTGAATCGGCCACTTAATGCATATCAGTTTACACAGGCACTGGGCTGAGTCTCGAGTACAGTGCAGAAGTATAGTCTGAAACTATCGTGTTGCTGCAGTGCTGACACAGCTTTTGCATAGTCAAAACAATCAAGAATCAGTGGCATGCCTAAAGATAAGACAATTGTTCTGTTGTCAAATATGCCTACTGGACCTCCTGTACGATGGCACAAAGTTGGCTATATCAGCCCATACTTTATGTGTCAGCTGTAAAATAAATGCAGGCAGAAATGTAACGTTAGCTACCGTTACATTCGAGACAATCATCTTAGACATAGCTGACGTTAGCTAGAGGATTTTCCTTACAGTACTGTAGAGCCTCAACTTTAGCAAGCTAGCTAGTTATATTAATAGCAATAAGAAATTGGGGAAATTGAATGATAAGCAACGATACAGACCAAATAAGTTATTTACGTATCATTCATTGATGTGTTTACTATTTTTGAGATTCAGTTCTTTGTTCTAGCAACTGAGGGTATTTTCATGGCTAAAGTCTACCGTTCACTTACTCTTTTCGTTGCTGTCACCTGCTGAAACCCCTTGCATGAGAAGATCAGCATCTTTCTTAAATCTATTTCGTAGATTTACGAATTCACTATCAGCAAGCATGTTTGATATCAGGGTGTTGGTCTTGGCTGACTGGCTAGCTAGCGGTGGCTACAGCTTCCTGGTACCTCACTGACTTCTTCTTATTATTCGGTGTTTAACGTGGGTTGGCATCCAATATAATGTTACATTACTGCCACCAACTGGACCGGATAATAAATCATTATACTTTGTGATACAAAAATGGGGAAACGAAATGAAAATAAAAATTACCCTGCAAACTATTAACCCTACACTCATTAAAAAAACACCACCACATTCCACTATTTTAACCCCATCTAAATCCTACACCAGGCCGACGGGACACTACCATTCAAAACCCCCTGCAATGGAGTAGTAAAATCTCGTAACTCCAAGTACTTCTCTGAAGCTGCCACAACAACACCTATTTTCTGTGATTTACATTCCATTCCTGTGGTACAGTTGATAACCATGGCAATGAACGCTAAAAAGCCAACCTTACTGAAGCACATTTAATTCGTAGGCCCATCACTCTGTACTGACAAAAGTCTACTACTCACCAGGAGCCTCTCAGGATCCCTCCCCCTTGACCCATCTTCCTGTTCTTTCTTCACTGCCTCAGCATACATCACCTTTTGTACAACTCTAATCATGGCAACCTCAATCTGCCTCTCTCGCACCGGACACTTCTGATCCCCTGCAACATGGGCACCCCTACAGATTACACATAGCGCTTCTTTCACTAATAGTACACAGTCTCATGCCCTCCTGAACACTTCTCACATCTAGGAATCTCCCTCCTACACACTGCTGCCACATGACCATAACCTTGGCACCTGAAACAAAGTAGTGGGTTCAGCACAAAAGCTTGTATGGGATAATAATTGATTACTTAGTCGGGTAAAGACTCAACATCAAAACTCAAAAGGACAGACATTGACTCTTCTGTTTCACCACGCTCGCCACTGGGTTTGCGTCACACCAAACAGTGGGCGTCACAGACAAGGGAAATCTTCCACTTCAGTTGAACCACCTTCACCTTTACCGCTACCCCAGTAATCACTCCTTTCAATGGCGCCCTTTCAAGTAACTGCTCCTGTTCCCATTCGCGTTGCACGAAGCGCCCGCTCCCTCTGGGTGGAAGAAACACAAAAAAAACATCACAAGTCCACTTCGGGTTATATTCACCTATTCAACGGTACCCAATTCCTTTTCCAACCAACTTTAAACCACATATAGGTCAGCCAAAAGGCAGGGGTCCATTTTCTTCAAACATTTCTCTCCTACTGGACCAGATTCATCTTTATCATGACCATCGGTGCGAAGCTGGGGCTCTGAGATCTTCACCACACCTGCCACCTCAGGTAGTTTGTCCTCGTTGTCTTCCAGTTCACCTCCAAAGCTCAGTCTGGAGCACAGCGCATTCTGCTTGTACTTTACACCAATCTTCCTCCACACACCGTCTGCCTTGTTGTTGCTACCTTCATCAGATTCAAACTCATCTGCTTTCTCTACTCTCCTTATCTTCTTCTTTCTGTGAGGTTACTTTCTTCGTCGACCTCAAGCCTGGATGTATATATTCATTAGGATCCATATCGCTTTCAATATCGGACGTTACTTTCCCCGGCAGCCAGAGCCAGCCAAGCCCCACTTTAGTGTACATTCTTCTTGGTTTTTCCTCCCTTCTCTCTCAACCTGAGGACCTCCCTGCCCCCACCTTTTCCTGGATCTTATACAGGGGTCTTCCCTTGCCCTTCCTGTTCTACAACTCTTGCCATTTGTTTTAACCACTGTTCTAATTAACCCTTTGGCTTCTGCTTTACTGAATGACACTTCCATATCGACACTAGAATGTTTGAGAGCCTGCTTGGCAAGAACATCCACCTCCTCATTCCCCTCGACTCCCACATGAGCTGGTACCCAGAGGAACCTCACAAATACCCCCATCTGTCTCACCCTAAACAGGCACTGCAAAACCTCATACAATAAATCCTTTCTGCTCAGAGACACAAATGAATTTAAGCTCATCAGTGTAGCAGATGAGTCAGAGCAGATGACTACCCTGTCTGGCCTCACCTCCTCCACCCACTCAGCAGCCAAGGGTATGGCCAGCAACTCCATTGTGTATACGGATAAATGATCCGTTGCTCTTTTTGCCACTACTACCTGTTTTAGGGTCCTTAGATCCATCTGTGAATATATTCAAGACAGCATAGTACTGAGTTCTTAAATGTTTACTTACAATATTTACTGGATCTACTCCTTCCTCACCAGCTCTTACCCTGTAAAGCAACCCTAGGTCTATCATTGGCTGAGGAAGCAACCAAGGTGGGATAGTAGGAAGAACCACAGAGGTTCTTCCAGGCTGAACTCCTTACCAAACAACCCCATCTCTCTCGTCATGCCATTACCTATCCACTCAAAACTTGTATTCAGATCTCGTTCATGCTCCCAGCACTCTAGGAGCACCTTTTTAAGTAGGATGTGTAACCTTATGTCCTTGAAGATTTACCCAATATGTCATGGTTAGTTCTTGTCTTCTCAACTTTAAAGACATCTCCCCCAACGCTACCTGGAGCGCTGCTACCTGGGAGGTCCGGACTGCTCCACAACATATTCTTAGAGCTTGAGCCTGGATTACATCTAGCTTTTTTCAAGATGTCTGAGCTGCTGATCCATATGCTACACTACCATTGCAGTGGAGGCTGCTGAGGGGAGGACGGCTCATAATAATGTCTGGAATGGAGTCAATGGAATGGTATCAACCACATGGAAACTACGTCTTTGATGTGTATGATCCCACTCCATTCACTCCATTCCAGCCATGATTATGAGCCATCCTCTCCTCAGCAGCCTCCACTGTACCATAGTCCAGTGATGACCTAGATAGCGCTATATATTATAATATTTTCAACATCTGACAGGCAACTCATCACATTTAATATTTCATGTTCCACCCACATCATACAAGTGTCAAACCAGAACCCCAGGAACCTAAACACTTATCCCAATGGGATATTTATCCCAATATCTGGTCACACTTGGTACAATAAATTATCAATCATAATGGAGAACAACAAAGGACTAATCACACATCCCTAGGGGGCACGTCTGCTGTTGACGTTTATTTAAAGCGACAGATGTAGTAGCAGGCAGGGAAAGGTCAGTGCTATCCAGTATGCTTGGGACGTAACTACCCCAAACCCAAACCCCTATCCTTACCCTAACCTTAACCATAACCCTTACCTAACCCTTACCTTAAAACATTTTACATTTCAACTTCAATGGGGTAGGGACATCACAAGGATTCCAGATAGCACAGACCAAGGGGGAAAATCTAGAAGTTTCTATAAAATTTTTGATTAGAGCCATCCATCAGTCTGAAAATGAAGTATGAATACTGACTGAATATTGTATACAACTGTTTTGTTAGTGTATGCCAATCAGCTTTTTTTGTGTGTATACGAATAATTGTCTACACTAGTTCTATTTATTTATTTTTACAGTGTCTGACTTCTGACTTAAAAATTCACAAATCACTGACCAACATTGTTCATAAACATTTTGTTATTTTTTCCCCTTCATTTTTCATTTCGCTTGCCGAGAGGGTACCTAAAGATCCAGAGTCTCACGTCCAAATTGGCAGGGTGTTGTCAACCCAATTGGAATGATGTAAAATAGGCAGACAATTAGGCCAGTATCTCATAAATTAAGCTTGACTTTATCAATTATGGGCTGGTTTCCCAGACAGAGACTAAGCCTAGTCCTGGACTAAAAAGCTTTCAATGGAGATTCTCCATTGAGCATGCTTTTTTAGTCCAGCACTAGGCTTAATCTGTGTGCCCTATGCTTTAAAATGGAAATATTCTTATATTCTTATTTGTGAATCCTATGCAACAACATTACAAAGAACTAAGTCTAAAATGGAAAATATAAATGGATATGCGTAAATGGGTATGACTTTGAAAAGTAGGTGAAGAAAAGTATGTAAAGATAGTTCCAAAAGACAGACTGCAGAAATGGCTGCCTAAGGTGACCAGTCCAAGCACATTGAACACATAATTGGGCAATACAGTACTACATTCTTATCTGTTATGTATACTTTTACATATAGGTCTATAGGGTACTTGGCCTGGATGCTACACTGCAGAGCAACTTAAGTCCTGTCCAAATGCCAGATGGCAGCCCTGTATGTGTAATACACCAGGGATGGGACTGCAGGGGAATCAATTATGCTTTTGATGCCTTATCAAAAACTAATTTGAAACTTGCCTCAACTGATGTTGAGATACATAATATTTGGCAATCTATATGGGCTTACAGTTAAATGCCATTGTTTAAATTAATGTTTTACATTACTTCCTTAATTAGATCTAAGAAAGACATTTGGCATGTTTCCTTGACATAAATGTAGTCAAAGTATGGTAATTATGAGAAGTTATTTTGTAATACTAATTGAGGTAGGCCCCTAAACTAACACTGTAAAAGTGTGAAGAAATTTGATCAGTGTTATTTCGTAATACACAGGACCTTCTAATCAGCAGGTTTTGCATGGGTGGAGTTGTGGCTTGCCTGGTGACATCACCAGGCGGCAAAAGTAAATATAGACCAATAACAAAGAGTTCCAAACCTTTCTGCCAATAACATCTAGTTTTCATATTACATATCCTTCCCCCTCCCCACTCAGACCACTCCCAGACGGTCCTAGCAAATGTTTTGCTTGTGAAATAGTTTTTAGAGAAAAATCTATTTTAGTTTATTTTTGACCACTTGAATAGAAAACTATTAGAGTAAGTTATTTAATTGTTACCTAGAAATGATTTAATATTGAGATAAAAACAGCTGCATTGGGTGTTTAAAAGGGTTGAAGGTGCTGCCTCTGGTGGCCAATTCACTAAATTGTATTAATAACCCTAACCCTATTAGAGAAATCCCATGCAATTGCCTATTTGTAATCATATTTCAGTGGTGATACTTGGATCAATACTGACAGGTTGAGCAATCAGTATTATTCCCGAAGAACGGAATTGCCCATCGCTGCTAACGGAATTAAACCATGTTAAAAAATCCAATAGCAGTGTGTTTTCATTCAAATAAGTTATTTTTTTTT